CTCTATGAATGATTTATCGCATGCATTAACCTGTAAGCAGGCAGATATGTTTAAATAAGGAGTAACTTACTATGGTTGTAGCTATTATAGTGAAAGAACATGGCCCAGACAGTGTTTGTAGATAGGGGAATGGTGGATTTTTTTAGCCATACCTGGAGAAACAGGTAACCTGAAGAAAGGCATATATGCCCAAAAGCTCTTCTCCCTTTTCTAGCCCTGCTTGTTGGTCTAATAAAACATATTACTTCCACAAACCTTGTCTTGCCTGCAATTTAATAAAATACTGCCAGAATCATACTGTGTGACAGATCTTTTAATTCATTTCAGAGCTGTAGCTCCCATCCAGTCCCTCTGCTTCACCGGGCGAGCAGGGGCGTTTTGTTCCACTGCACAGCCCCTTCCTTTGCCTTTTGTAGTAACTTTGCAGAGATTTAATAGTGACATATAATGAGGGTTTATGTGACTGTGGAGTGAGGGGAAACTTATCTTTTGAATGTGAGAATTATGGAGTGTGCAGATTAACAAAGTGAGAAAGAGCAAAGGTATGTTCGTGGCTGCAATCGATGGAGTTAATGGCAAACGCAGATGGATCAGCCTGACCTTTCCATCTCTAATTCCATAGACTGCACTGCTCTTTGTAATGAGTGGTGAAGAGAAAAATAAAATGGGCTAGAAAAACTTTTTAAGCTCAAAACTAGGATAAAAATGTAACATTTTGAGGCCATGAGGGAAAAATTGTCTTCTGTGGTTTTTTTAAAGTAAAAAAAAAAAAAGGTATGAAATAAAAATGGAAATAGAAGAGGTAACTTTCTGCTTATGAAAATTGGAATTATTTTCTTATAATTTTAATAATTATTCCTTTTTAATAATTATCTTTTATCACAGATGGAGCCTCACCAGATTTTTTACTGATTGCTATGTCTCTAAAATGGGTGGTTAGACAAGCAAAACCAAAAGATCAACATGACTGACTTTTATACCAAAAAGTTTCTAAAACAGCACTGGGTTTCCCGTCCTACCCTCTGGCCCTGGTGAAGCCCATCCTGCACAGCCTGTCCCACTCAGGGGTATCACAAGCTACCACACTTTGCCTTGTGCTGCCTGAGAGTGATCCCATCTGATCCACTGATCTGGAATAGAGGAAAAAAATACAGTATTTCAGTTTTTAGCATCATGAATCACACTTGTCTTTTGTAGCCAGGCTACTTTGGCCAACTGCTGGCTATAGGACTCCTACTTAAATATAAAAACAGGGCTCCTGAAGCAATTAGTGCTTGTAAGTACCTGCAGGATAAGGCCTGGGAATCTCAGTGTTGATCCAGATGGGCTGCTGTCTTTGTATTGTAGGATGTCTCACTCATTTGCAGGGTCCAAAAGTTTAGAAGTGAAACATCTATCAAAATCTCATTACTTTGGAGAGGATGGGAGCTCATGGATTATAAACCTTAATTTATTTTTTATATCTTAAATTGTGGTGCCATATCTGAGCCATAAATTTTTACAAACCAAACTGCTGATGCATTTGAAGGAGTCAAATAAACACTCCCAGCACTGCCCCAGGACAGTGACAGAGGGAGCAGGCAGGTGTGTGGGGTGAGGGTGGCAGAGAGGTGGTGATGGCACATTGCTTTGGGAACTCCTACTCTTGTTATTTTTGCAATAAGATGCCCATATTTACTTGGGGGAGAGGAGAGGAGAGGAGGTTAATGATATCGGTTCCTGGGAATGCAGGCACTCCCCAGTGACTGAAAGGGAATATTCCTGGATCCCCCAAAGCCCGTAATTTCACTCCCAAGTGTCTGCTAGCAGAAAGACATGTCTGTCTGCCTTCAGTTTAATATTGTCACAAAGACCTGATTTATTACATGGTGTCAAACTTCTCGACAGTCTTTGAGCCTGTGCACTGTAGTGTTTGCTTGGTGATGTAGGAGGCTGAAGTGGCTATGAGTGTGCAAGGCAGTTTTTTAAACTGGGCAGCACTGAACAGCCTGATCCTGCAAATCTAAGATTGTGCAGTTTGTTTCAGGGATTGATCTTGCCAAGTTTTGTATGGCGTTTAAGGAGAAATCTTTCCCAGTGAGACCAAATGCATTTGGGAGAGAAAGTGATAAGCCCCTGGATCCTTGCTAGATAATGCCCATGCCTCCCAGGACAGAGCTCAGAGGATTTATTCAGTCCTATAATTTCTAGGAGGTGGGATTTGCTAAAGCATAAGAAGGATAGAAAGCTCAAAAACTTCACCAGAAAGATTTGACAAGTAAAATAAAATGAAATACAGCCATGAAATCTGTGATGAGGGCAAGGGTAAGGGTCAATACTGAATTCATACGGGAATAAAGGATTGTTCCTGTAGCATTTTATTCTGTATTATGTTTTATTCCACATTATTTCATTCCTGTACTGTTTTTGCCCCAGTTGCACTGTTTGCCTAGAATTGGACTCTTCCTCTAACACAGTCAGAGTAGCGTTGATTCCAGAGATAAGACACACACAGTGAAGGTGATACAGACAGACAATTATAAATACATCTTCTTTGTTTCACGGGGTGGACAGTCTTCCCGTGAAGGTCACTCCAACAATGCTCCAGGATGTACTTGTGGAGCTGGTGACTGGTGCAACGAGAGGCCAAGCAGTGTAATCAGAGCTGACATCTGGGTGCTCGCTGTCAGGGTTTCAGGAAACTTGTTTTTGCTCCATGATAGACCTGTTCTCACTGGGCAACGGGAAAAGCCTATGTGACTGTTAAAACAAGAGTGGAAAAATATGTATCTGGAATATGCATTGCTTTATCCTGCCAAGCCAAGTGTTTATTGTGGAGGCCAGACACATCTGTCCTTCTCCAACAGATATCATGGTGTTTCTTGGATTAAAAAGGCCGACTGTAGTGGAACAGTGGAAGAAATTGCTTCAGGAGACTGACTTACTGGAGTCTTATATCATATGGACCTTGTCAGAAAAATATTAGCCACAATAAAAGCTGACACTCGGGGAGATGAAAGCAATATTGCTTGATATTGTGATTACCTTTATGGCAACATGCTCAAGGTGAGCAGTGGGGAATTGAGGCCTTTCTTCGTTTGACCTGGGCGGTCAGTGTGATTGCTTCAGGGACTTTTTCTTGGTTTATGTAATAAAACATCTGTAATAAAAGATTTAAAAAAAAAAAACAGTTTTGGGAAAGAGACTGGAGACAAGGATTGCAGACAGCTATTTGGGTCAAGGGGTTAGTTTTTTGCCAGGCTCCAGATGGGGATGGAGAGGACAACAAGGGCTGGAAGCGATTCTGAAGCTGAATCCATGTACTCTGCACAGGCAATGAGAACAGCATCAGTTTAGTGAGCTGCACCTGATCTGAAGTTTGGCAAGAGAGAGGTCGATACACACATTATTCCCTGTGTGGGGTATTTCTGAGAATGCTGCTTGTGAATGTGTGTCTATTCTGAAGGCTGCAGTGAGTGTGAGTAACAGCGCTCATCACACGTCTTTGCATTTTCATGCCCTTGCAGATTTACTGGAAGATCTTGGGAAACAGCAGCTTTGCTGGAACAGTTTAGTTATAGCAAGGACAAGGAATTTTTTCTGAAAACTTGACAGAAGAAACAAGATTTACCTCTTCATTCGTATAGCACATGAGTTAACCTAGAGTGGCCCAGCAATTTGTAAAGTCTGTGGGCTCAAAAATAACCCTGTTATGAAATAGGACATGATGCAATACAGGAGTGTTAGAGCAACTTAGTTGTGCTTGTTCTGAAGGAAGCAAGTTATGATCATTTGCTACATCATAGTGGATATCCTGCAGCTTTGGGTTATTCCTGGGCCCCCTAGGTCCTAGGAAAGCAAAAGGCAGACCTGAAGCAGCCCTGACAATGTGTGGGATTACTATAGGTTGTATTTAAACACAGTAAAAAAGTGAAGGGCTGGTTCTGCAGGGTGCTGAGCACCTTTAGCTGCATTGAAGCCAAGGTGATTTGGGATGTCTCTCAATCTGCCACCATACCTGGAGGTGCACAAGTGTCTTTTGGTGGAAGGAGGCTGCAGAATATTTGCAGCCAGTGAATGTGCACTGAATACTCTGCACTGGAGGAGGCTTATATTTTTCAGTTACAATCAAAATATGTTAACATTTTGCCTTTCCCTATGCTTTTGGTTCAGACTCAGAAGACTCAGAAGACTCATATGTTACTGTAAATTTTTTTTCCAGAAAAGCAGATACCTTCTCTGCTCCTCTACAAAAGCTTTATGCCACAATAATTTAAGATTTCCTCCAGGTCAGAATATTTCTGCATGTAAAACCTCTTTGAAGGTTTAAATAGACTGTAACTGAGTTTTGACATGTATTAGCACGTGTCAGGTACAGCAGTTATTAAGGGTAGTGGAGACAAGACACATTCCATCTCTCCAGTGACTGACTCACAGGTGTCCAGATCACTACAGGCCACAAGCAGGCAAAGCCACTAAAAAAAAAATTTTAAAATCACCCTTTGTTGCAACAAGCATTAAAAACTCCTTTTACCATTAATTTCAGCAATAGATCAGGTGAGGAATAAACTCTAGTTGCTGTCTTACAAAATCATGTCCCAGAATTGTGACTGGGAAAATTGCCTTTTCATTCCTTTTGATGTAAATCTTCTCTCTTGCAAGGTTCTGCATACACCCAGAATGTATTTTTAAATTATCTCAAACTATACATTTGCACAGCGTGATGTGCTTTAGTTAAATAGGAGTTCCTGGGTTCTGTCCTGTTCCTCTTCTCTCTATTAGCTGAATATGTCTGCATCCAAACAATCCACAACAGAGAAATCGTTTGCTCTGCTGATGGATTTTTTTAAAATTCTTTAATTTCTTTCATTCTTATATCAGGGATTGACTGAAATTGTCATCTCTCCCACGGCAGAACTAAAGGAGTGTGACATGCAAAAGGAAATACCCAGGAGTGGATGCTTTTCAAAGCAGAACAGGTTTGAGCAAAGCCAGCTGACCCTCTGCACTTCTCTTCCCAGGGCACAGCTTCCGTCCTGCAGCGCAGGTCTGACAACGAGGAGTACGTGGAAGTTGGAAGACTTGGTCCATCAGATTATTTCGGTAAGAAAACTCAGCTAAGCATGGTTCAGAAAGACAGGCATGTCTGGATCAAGTAGTTATTGTCTTAATTAGTGTTCTACTCTCACATGCAAAGGGTTATGTGCAGGTCAGCCGCTGCTTTCAGCGATAGTGAGAGATTTCAGGGAGGCTGAATCCATTCCTTGGTTTACACCAGTGAGGCTGGCAGGAGACAGATCCAGAATCAGCAAAACAGTCTGAAAGCATTTGTTTTCAAAGGCATTTTACACGCATGCATTATGCATGTGTAATGCATTTGTACTGTCAACAGAATTATGTAAAGTGTCTATCAAGAGATATATAAAGGGAGATGTTCTACAAGCGAAGCAACCGGGTGGTGGCTGGAATATGCACCCTCCAAAAAAAGAGGCCCAGGGCGTGTGACAGCGTGTTTGTCCCCGTTTCCAGGTGAGATAGCACTGCTGCTGAACCGGCCCCGGGCTGCCACGGTGGTGGCACGTGGACCCCTGAAGTGTGTGAAGCTGGACCGGCCCCGCTTCGAACGAGTGCTGGGCCCTTGCTCTGAAATCCTCAAGAGAAACATTCAGAGATACAACAGTTTCATTTCGCTCACCGTCTAAATGATTCCTCTGGAAAGCTGCCTTTGTGTGACCTTGTGCACTTAAATTTGCTCTGTGCAGCTCCATAGCTTTACAAAGAAAAAAAAAAAAAGTGTGCATTTTATGTGTATTTTTTCTGTTTGTGTCACGTATTGGATGTCAGTTCAAATCTCATGTATCATGGAAGTGGGAAGATAACTGTTTGGACAAGACTAGCTCTTGGCTTGCAGACAAGATTTTTACCTGATTTTGGATCATATAGCTCAAAACTGTGGTTTTAACTATTTAAAATACATATGAATTTCTGTTTTCCTTATTATCTTTAAAGCTGGTCTTATCCACCTTTTGTCAAGCTCTTTTGATCAAGTGATGTGAAAGGTGTCCCTGCCCATGGCAGGGAGTTGGAACTAGCTGGTGTTTCAAGTCCCTTCCAACCCAAACCAGTCTGTGACTCTGTGATATCTTTCTGTCACTTCAAAAAGACTTTCACTGGTTATGGACTGGAGGGTTCTGAAACTCCATGGGGTAATTGGCAGTCGTGCAATTTAAGGGGAAGGTTGGAGTAAGGTTTTGATCATTCCAGCAAGCCAGGGAAAAGTAGAGCTTTTGAGTGATTGTGTTTGTGTCTAAGATATAGGGGCCATTTTCCTCTGTGCCACAAACTCTTTTGGGTCTGCTTTGTAGGATATGCTAAGGCAAACAGCCTGCTCCAGTCTTCTGGGTGAAGAGGTCAAGGGACAATGTTTTCTAAGAATTCAAATGGGGCCTTTAAGACCTGTTATTTGTCCTCAGTTATTTTTAAATGAGAGTTTGCATTAGAGCCCTTACAAGTTCAATGGGAACTTCTCTGCTGAATTAAGTGGGCTTCGAAACTCAGCAGAGTGTCCTCAGCCACTTCTCTGAACATCAGGGACAAATACAGCAGCCTCTTTTTAATAAAATCCACTTAATTAAATTCAAATGCCTTTCTTGTAGTATATGACTAAATTTTAGAATTTTTTAAGATTTTCTGAAAGCCAAATAAGTGCTTCAAAATGCTGCCTCTCTTCCAAAAGACAGGCATTGTGAAACAAAGAGCAGCACGATCCTCAAACCCAGGTCCCTCCAGAGTCCCACAGCCTCACTGGCAGTTGTTGCTGCCCTGCCTAGACATGGGGCTCCTCCTGAACAGAGCTTTTTGCAGATCCCTCGAGGGTGGGAATCTGCCCAGCCCTTAAGGATGGGATCATCGGGATTACGCTTTGCGAAGCTTTTCCTTTGCAGGTAAACTTGTTGCCAGCAGCACCAAAACTCTGCATCTCAGCCACCCTAAACAGCACTGCCTGCTCTTCAGCTGGGGCAAAACTCCATTTCTTCTTCACAATAACATTCTTCTGAGTAAATACAAAATTTCTGTACCTTTGATATGCCAAAGGTTATGCGGTGAAATACAGCAGCAATCTCCCTTTTGAAACTAGAGGTGTAGGTGAACTTGGCTAAATGTCTAAAATTACTCCTTCTGGCACACAATGTGCTTTCTTCTTTGGAATTAACAAATACTAACTTGGCACTTTCCTGTTGACTCCCACCAAGGGCCCAATATTCCAGTAGCTGCCTGCAGTGATTCTCACAGAGCTAAAAGCTTCTCAACTTCATGCTCCTCTCATCACTTAAAAGGTGCTTAAGTTATTTCAGCATAATTTCAGTGGTCCCTTTAGTGTATATCCGTTGCTGCTATTTATTTTGATTATGTTATGCTTCTTGCACGTGTTATTAAATATGACCATTCACAGTTTCCAGCCTTGCAGTTTTTATCACATACATTTACATAGGCAGACCCCCATCCTATAGAGAGAGATCAGTGTATATGCATTTGGTTATTTGCTGCACTGTTTTTGTATTCTCTTGTGCAATTTTTAAAAGAAATATTTTTTAAAGGTTACCAGCCACTCAAGTATGTTCTTTTACTTATTGCATTTCTGTTGTGTTGGTAAAAAAATTGTGAGTGTTTCACATAATATGCAAGACACGTGTCTTGTCAAACACCAAGTATTAGACTCACTGTTTAGAAGTTACTCGAGCACACAGACACACTGCAGATTCTTTGCTTTAAACCTTCACAGCTCATGGAAAATAAGTTTGAATAATGGCTCTGTTATAAGCAATCTCAAGAGAAGTGTAACCATTTAACACCAGGATTCCTGTGCTTTAAGTGGAACAAAATGATGTTCAGTGATGTTTTAAAGATAATTGTAATATTTGCAGTGGATGATGGGACAGGATTGCAGTATGAATAAAATTCTTCTACGTTATATGTAGCCTTTGTTGGTTTATTACTAATGGAAGTCTGTGTCAGTAGATATGTTCTAGTTAAAATCTGCATATCATCAAAAGTTTGAACTCTACTGAAAATAATCAGATGCAAAGGGACAAAAAATAGACCAAGATTCCCAGTGCTATATATAGTAATGGAAACCAAACTGGTTTGTAGAGGATTAGCATGAAGAAAAAAATTTCTGTTTAAATGTAACCATATATGTCTACATAAAGAAAGAGGGGTTCGAGATGTCTCTTGGACCTTCCTGTTGTTTTTCAGGTGCCAGAATTGAAACCCTCAGGACTGCTGCTGAGTCTGTTGTATGGCCAGTAGAGAGACCTGGGGAAAAACAGGCTCTTTCCTTCCCAAACACCAGTGCTGCTCCTTTTTCCCAGCATCACAGGCAAAGCCCTGACTGAACCAGGGATCTTTCCCAATCATTCCTCTCAACTTCTGGCCACACATGGATTTTTAGGAGCGCATCTGCCCTGGGACTGAAGCACAACCCCATTTTTGGCACCAGAGATGTACTGTGCTGCTGCCATGGCTTGTGTTCCTGCTGTGGGCTGGCCAAGAGCTACACTGAGAACAAACTTCTCAGAGAAGGCAGAGCCTCTGAAAGAACCACCTGTACCTCATGCCTCAGGGTAAAGGCATGGGTTGAAGGAACAGCACGGCCTCTGGGTGAGGAAGAGGTGTTCGATGTGTTGGTGGTGCCACCCCACCTGCCAGAGCTCTCGGTGGCCACATCAGTACATCTGTTGTGGTCCAAGCTTGGCTCCAGACCTGGAGCTGTCACCCCAGAGCAGCAGGCAGGGCCGGTGGCCTCACTCCATGCAGCTTCTCTGCAGTGGCCCCTGCACAGGAATCTTGGGTGGCTCCCGGCATCCAAGGGCTGTCCAGCTTTCCATTTTTGGAATGTGTTATTTTTCCCCCCTTTGCTATGATTCAGGAGGGAAGGACTGGTCTTTCCAGAGAATTACTCATATTATGTAGTAATCAAAAGTGACCACTCTCTCTGAGGTCCTTCCAGAAGGACATTACCAGCCCACGCTCCCCAGAAAAGAGCATCTCACCACTCCTCATTGTCATCCTTTTTTCGGTTGGTTTTAATTGTGTTGCAGCCATTTCAGGACTCCTGAGACAAAAGAAAAGACTTTTTTTTTTTAATAGAAACTAATTGCACCTCAGGTTTTTACAAGGCCCATGTGGCTGACCAGGCTTTGGTGTGTGTGTATCACATTACTGTCGGCTCGCTCAGGCATTCCCACTGCTTCTTGGCACTGGGTGCCTAAATTCGTGGAGTCATATGAACTCCGTGAATCCTTGATCATCGAGCAAGCACAGCCTGACACCATGTTACCTGCTCAGGTGTTGGTGGGAAACAAGACCTGTTGGAGAACCAAGTAACCCCAGTGCACACCAGTTGGGCTGTTGCCTGCTGGGTTGTGGGTCTTTGGAAGTGGAGTCACCACACGAAGGATGTCATTTCTTCCATTGTGAAGGTTGCACAAAGTGTGTGGATCCCATTCAGTTTTAAGTCTTAAATGGGGCATAAATACTTTCACTTATCTATTTATGGAAGAAATTGTGTTTGTTCTTTGTGCTCATTTCTGTATAGCAGAGAGAATGTTATCTTGTGCAGAGGCAAAACCATGATGACCTCCTTAAAGAGAGCCAGAGATCCCACTGCTCTCTGCTCATCACAGTGCCACAGGGATGCAGAGTCACTGCAACTGCAGCAGTATCCCCAGACTGTTGCAGGTGGATGGGACTTAGCAGAGTACTACAGAGTAGGTGACTCTGAGCACCAACCAGTTTAAAGTTTCACAGTTGATCCAAAGACCACTTCACTGTGTAGAGACTGAATTATCTACTCTCTTACATTGCCAGGCATGGTTTTTTAACTTGTTTCTATTGATTTGGCAACTCTGACTGGAGCTTCAAGTGCACACGATTGCTCAGAAACTTGTAAGAGCATTTCCAGCCAGAGTCACTTCTGCAGGTCCCTCTTCCCTCCAGAGAAGGAGAACATATTTGGATATGAGCATATGTGTAGCCTTGGAAATTTGATGTTACGGGAACACATTGGCTTGGATGCTCCTCCTCCTCAGGGGATTTCTCCACGGCTCTTTGCTGCTCCACAGAGTTGTATCTGGATGCAGCACTCACACAACAAGCTGGCCTTTTCTCTGGAAATGCTGCCTGGCCAAAGGAGCTGGCATCTGCAGCCATCTGTTTTTTTTCTGAAGGCTGAGGATGTTTTTTTGTGCTTGATCAGGCTCCAATACCAGAGTGATTCTTCTGATTTCTAAAAATCTGGATTCAGTTTTTAGAAAAGAGGTTACCCTTTGCCTGGGCAAGGAAAGCAAAGCATGAGCATCTCCTTGGGCTGCTCTGACTCCTGTCTCAGATGTGCATGGGTTACTTTTCACTTCTGAGTGCACCAGCCCCTCCCCAGATGTGTTTTAATCCTTGTTTTCAAGTCACTCTCTGCACAAGTATCAGAGAGAGCCTCCACAGCCCAGACCAGCTGCACCACATATCCCATGCACTTGTGCTCCAGCAATTTTAAGTGTGCAAAGTTCTCTTTAAAAAAGTTGTGAGATCTTATGGAGGAAAAAAATAATCATTTTGCCCAAGAAGACTGCTCCTATTCCAGTATAAACTGCCTCCAAAAGTGGAACAGTGGCATGCCATGCTGCTGCACGGGCCAGCAGTGCTGAATGAATTGGCAGATGCTGTGCTGCTGTGTGATCTCTGGGAGCTGGGCTGTGAGAACGCTGCTCCTCTACTCACAGCTTTGGTTCGAAGCC